CCCATACCCACCAAAGTTAGAAAATGGTAGCAAATTCCCACCCCTCTGAGCAGTTAATCCAGGAAACAATGTTCCCAGAGCCCAATATAATCCAGTCTCTGGTTTTGCCAAAGAAACAAGCTGAGCTTCAGAGGTAGCCAAAGGCAAGTCAATAGGCAAGGAAGAGAAAAGCTTCTTGGTTTCAGGATCACCATTTGGTCTACAGTGGTTGTCTGAAGTCCACAGCCTATGAACTTAAATTTTATTGGGACATTTCCCCCACTAAGGGTGATTGTGTCCTGTGCATACTATAGCAGTAGGAAAAATCCACCTCTGTGTGCTTCCTCCTCTTCCAGAGAATGGGGTGTGGGACATCCCCTTCTTTTTGAAAATTGTGGAAGTGTGCAGTAGGGAAAACTTCATCAGATCTTACTTAAAGGGCCCATCTTCCCCACATCATGTATGTTTGAAACATCTCAATTTCCTGTTCCCTTTTAGGTTCCATGGTCCTGATATCCAATTGCTGTATAAAGTGTGGGTTCTGTAAATGACACAACCTTGAGAAATATATCTGTCTATCAGTGTGTTGGCATCTTCCATGCTTTGCCCAAAGGCTGTGACCACAGCTTCTTGCACAGCCATTGCTTTGCCCCAAGAAACATGCCTCCCGAGGGCAGTTTCCCTGTTAGCCCCATGTTGGTTTCCCTCTCAACAGGTTCCTGAACAAAATCTGGTGACTCCAAGGCTTTTGTCTCATTTTAGAAATATTCTCCCATTCTTCTCTACTAACTCAAAGCTGGGTAATGAGCCCAGCAGGGAAAGGGGAGAAGACTTTATGTCCAGATTCCATCATAGGCAGGAGTAGTCAATGAAATATAAAAAAAAGTTGTTGGGTGGTACTTCTAAAGCTATCTTGATGCCCTGATTTTCCTCCTTTGTGTTGCCCAAAAATGAATGTGATGACTGGAGCTCCAGTAGCCTTATTGGGACCATGAGAGAAATGCAAAGAGAGACCTTGGTCTGGCATCCTTAAGACCAAAGCTACCAATTGTCTACTTTCAGATACTCATTGAGAGAAAATTAAATTTTCTTGGCTTATGCCAATGAAATTAATGTCTGTTACTACCAGCCAAAAGCAATTCCTTACTAACACATTTGCCTTATTTCTGCTTTTGAATTTTCCAGTATGTGAATAACTTGTTATTTTAATGTCAGCAAAAATATTTGTGTGTCACATCTTTCTTTGTAGAGGAGGGTTTGTTTCTGGTAATATACTTCTTTCCTTCATTCTCTAGTCATTTTGGAAAGCTTCAACTATGCTTTTAATATTTTTTTTTAATTTAATGCTTATTTTTGAGAGAGAGAGAGAGAGAGAGAGAGAGAGAAGGAGCAGGGGAGGAGCAGAAAGAGAAAGAAACAGAGAATCCGAAGCAGGCTCTGCGCTGTCCAGGCTGTCAGCCAAAAGCCCAATGTGAGCTCAAACCCACAAACCATGAGATCATGACCCGGGCCAAAGTTGTATGCTCAACCAACTGAGCCATCCAGCTGCCCCGATATTTTAACATGCTTTAAAAATTAGTCAATTTTCCTCTCCTTCATTATGGCCTTTATGTATCATCTTTTTCTTTGCATTCCTTTTTTTTTTTAAGTGTTTATTTATTTAGTTTGAGAGAGAGAGAAAGAGCAGGGGAGATACAGAGAGAGGGAGAGAGAGAGAATCCCAAGCAGCCTCTGAGCTGTTAGTGCAGAGCCCAATGTGGGGCTCAAACCCATGAACTGTAAGATCATGACCTGAGCCAAAATAAAGAGTTAGACAATTAATTGACTGAGCCACCCAGACCCCCCTTTTGCAATCCTTTTAAACAAATCCTAATCCCCCCTAGGCAGATGAACCCCCTGACTTGGGTGAAGATGATATACTCCAAAACACAAAACAAACAAAACTAGGGGCACCTAGCTAGCTCAGTCAGTAGAGCATGTGATTCTTTAAAAAAAAAGGTTTTTTTTAATGTTTATTTTTGAGAGCAAGAGAGAGAGAGAGCACAAGTTGGGAAGGGGCAGAAAGAGGGAGACACAGAACCTGAAGCAAGCTCCAAGCTCTGAGCTATCAGCACAGAGCCCAATGCAGAGCTTGAACCCACGAACTCCAAGATCATGACCTGAGCCAAAGTCGGTCGCTTGACCAACTGAGCCACCCAGGCACCCTGAGCATGTGATTCTTAATCTCAAGGTCGTGAGTTCAAGCCCTACGTTGTGTGTGGAGCCTACTTAAAATTAAAAAACAAACAAACAAACAAACAAACAAAACCCACAACTATATGCTCTCTCTCCTTGATAATCTAACCCCCTTTTTAGGAGCAGATTCTTAGATCAAAGTCAACAGCAGATACCCAGTTTTTGCCTACTGAAGTCCATGCAGTTAAAATCCAGGGGCAAGCTGCACTTGGATGCCTCAGTTGGTTTAGCCTCCGACCTTGGCTCAAGTCATGATCTCACAGTTCATGAGCTCGAGCCCAACATCGGGCCCTGAGCTGACAGTGCAGAGCCTGCTTCTAATCTTCTGTCCCCCTCTCTCTGCTCCTTCCATGCTCATGCTCTCTCAAAAAATAAACACTAAAAAAATAAATAAAAATAAAAAAATAAAATCCAGGGGCAAGACTACAGCCATCAACCGCAATGTGGGTCATCACGGCCTGCAGAGACCAAAGGCCCATGCTTACTAGAGAGTTTACAACCAGTTTAGGGAGAACCTCGTTGGAATATAAATTTGAAACAACTTTAATTCTTCCAGTTGTTGCTATGCAATGTGTCTGTTCAGTGCTATCCTTCCCCTTAACCACATCTCTGTCTTATTCCATAACTTAAAAAAAATTGTTTTTATTGTTTATTTATTTTTGAGAGAGACAGAGTGTGAGTGGGGGAGGGGCAGAGAGAGAGGGAGACAGAATCTGAAGCAGGCTCCAGGCACCAAGCTGTGAGCACACAGCCCGATGCGGGGCTCCAATCCATGAACCGTGAGATCATGATCTGAGCTGAAGTCGGATGTTTAACCGACTGAGCCACCCAGGCACCCCTAATTCCATAACTTTTAAGTCAATTTCAGTTGTGAAATTCAGTCGATCTCGTGTCTCTAAGACTCAGCTCTATTCATTTTAAACTTCACCTTCATATCCAGTTCAAAATTCTCCTCTGCTCCATTCTTTCTCCCTCTGTCCCCTCTTGCCAGGTTCGGCCAAGGTTCTGGCTGATACGAGTCTGTGGGAGGCATGCTCTGCTCACACATATCTCCCTCATTCCTCCGCCCTCTATTTCTCCTCTGATATGGGAAGGGAAACCAAGAGAAGGAGAAGTAGCCTCCATCCTGTCACTAACCTGACAAAGTGGCCATCCCTTCTTGTTGACTGATCAAAGTTGCTGACCAGCTCATTAACTATTGGCTTGATGACAGGGTGGTGGCTCCAACAGGCCCTGAAGATAAAGGACTCACTGTCAAGCCACTCCCAGAGCCACTGGCAGACTCTGGTCTCATTCCCCAGTTGCATGGGTGCCTGATAAGACTGTGGCCTCCCCAGTTCTCAGTCCCAAACTATGCCAACAACTCATACTATACAGAAAAATTGGAATTCCAGCGGCTTAAGTAAGTGCCTCTGGGGCAGGTCCCAGTGATCTGCATGAAGGAAATAGCTCCTCCTTTCTCTCCCCGTGTGCTGCAGTCCTTTCTTCCTGATGTAGGCCCCAAATCTTTCTTCCTGCTCATGTTGATTTTATCCAGGAGATACATAAGGAGGGGCCTTGGGCATCCCCTGTGCCCTGGCCCTGGTGAAACATGGGAATATCACATGGCCAGAGTGTGTATGTGTCACCTAATGTCTGTGCTGAGGAAAGGCTGAGCGAAGGGGTCCAGATCCCTGACACTAAAGTGTAGTCAGAGAACAAATCAGAAGCAGGGTAAATAAATGCTAGAGACTACCAAATACTGATGGGCCGTCAAACTGGATTTACTTCCTTCCCTGGGAGGAATTGCTGAGCATTCGTACTGTGATTTTGAGCCATGTGGATGTCCCCCTGAGGCAAGGCCAATTTAGGCTTGTGGTTACCTGAGACTTGGATTTTGGTTGGGGGCTAGAGATAGCTGGAGCCACAGCCCACTCCCTCCCCACTGCTCCCTTCTATCTGCACATCTCTCCTTTTTGCCTCCTATGCAGGGAAACCCCACGACCCCATGAGTCTGATTCCATTGACTACTCCCCAAGGTGGACCTCTAGCTCATTCCTCTGTGTGTGAAGGAAACCCTCCTTCTCAAATCCAGGATGGAGATTATAAAGGTTGGGTTGTAGAAAGAGGAAATACAAAGGGGAAGGAGAATTTATCCTGGGTTTTGGAGTCCAGAGAGAGAAGGACGTGTAATGGGTGAGGAGAGCTGGAACGTAGTACTATGGGCCAGGTCCAAGCCTGGACCCCCCTCAGCTGGCAGTTAGAGTGTATGCATCCCAAGAGAGCAGGTGATGGGCAGAAGCCAGTGGGGACTGGGAGATAGAGATGGTATTTATTCTCCGAGAGATTTAGCAAAACCCACAGACATATGGGTTTTTTTTTTTTAAGTATATTTATTTAGAGAGTGAGTGTGTGTGTGTATGCACATGAGCGGGGGTGGCAGAGAGAGAGGGAGAGAGAATCCCAAGCAGACTCTGTGCTGTCAGTACAGAGCCTGACTCGGGGATCAATCCCATGAATGGTGAGATCATGACCTGAGTTGAAATCAAAAGTCAGACACTTAACCAACTGAGTCACCCAAATCTCCCCGAGACATAGGGTTTTAAACATGAGATGATATCTGCACGTGTGTGTGGTGGTAGCTCACACACCAGCTTTGGATCAGAAGCGGCATGACATAGGGCTGGTAGGATTCCTGCCTGAGACCCACCAGGCAGAGGAGGACTACGTCTGTTGAACTGATACCTTCCCAGAAGAAAGGTGAAGAGACACAAACCACTGACAGTTTCTTCTTTCTCTGTCCACAGATCTTGTACATCAGAGTTTCCTGGCCTAACAGCATGGTCCCTCTGCCCCCACAGCCCTGCCCTGCCTGCAAGTCCCCTGGCTCTCTCCCCAAGGAGCTCTCGGACCTGACCCATCTTCTGCACTGGCCTCCCACCCCAGGAGATGCGGGGGACCTTTTGGCCTCCACCAGTCCCCAGACTTCCACCTACCACCTGAGGGATCGTTCCCAGGCCAGCTACACCCTGGGAGGCTCCCTAGAGGCCATCCTTGTCGCCAGAGACCACCAGGGCAGGCCCAAGACCTGTGGTGGAGATCTGTTTCGGGCACAGCTGCTGGGTCCCCACCTGAAGGCAGGAGTCCCTGGGGATATCCAGGATCTGGAGAATGGCACCTACCTGTTGTCCTTCCCTCTGCTGTGGGCTGGGCAGGCCCAGGTGCGAGTGCAGCTGATCCACTCCAGCGAGGCACTTAGGGTCCTGCGGGGAATCTGGAGAGACCAATGGGCCACAGTTGATTTCATGGGCTATTTCCGAGGACCCACAGGATATGAAGAAATTGTGACTTGCAATGTTAACCCCCTGCTAACTGGGGAGGAAGAGTCTACCTGTCACTACAAGGATGAAGATTCTGGTGAGCTCTGGTTCTGTGCTCGACCCCCAACCCTGCCCTGCAACTCACTGGTAGGGCCTTCAAGTGGACATTACTGGAATATGACCACACCACACGAGGAGGCCCTGCTGGCATGGTAAGAAACCCAGCATTATCTGGGATGTCTGCCCTAACCCTTGAACCCCAGTCCCTGTGATATTCTGCCTGAACAACTACCCTTGTTCATCTATTCCCTTCTATTAGATGTTCTTCCTACTGCGTGCCAGGTCTCATACTAAGTGCTAACTACTTCTGTGTAATGGTCAGCATACCTGCCCTCTACAAGTTTTCAATGAGGAGATTCCTGACTTTTGTTTGGGTTTGTTTGTTTGCTTATATTTTTGTTTGTTTGTTTGTTTGTTTGTTTGTTTTTTGGGGAGAGAGGGAGAGAGAGAGAATCTTAGGCTCCACACTCCGTGTCGATTCTGACACGGGGCTCAATCCCACGACCCTGGGATCATGACCTGAGCCAAAATCAAGAGTCAGACACTCAACTGACTGAGCCACCCAGGCGCCCCTATGGAGATCCATGACTTTGGAAAACACAGTGTGATGAGTGCCTAAGTGCAGTATACATTGAGTGGTTTGGGGACATGGAGAAAAGGCAACCCACCTGCCTGTGATGATCGGGCAGGTGACAATTTAGCTAAGGCTTGAAGGAGAAACATGGACCTCTGGCAGAAGAGAAGCATTGCAGGCATCTTTGCTCTTCTGACTGCCCCTGTAAGGAGAGACGTAGGGTAGAAATTACCAGCATATGTGGTCGGAGAGTATGGAGGGTGGATGTGACCCCCGAGTGAGAGGGGAGCAGAGCCTGCAGCCCGGAAGCTGAGAAAGGCTGAGAACTGTCCTCAGTCTCAGGGCGGGGGTGGGGGCAAGCCTCCCTGGGTGGACACAAGATGGGAGTCATGGAAGGGAGATGGGCAAACAGCCTACTGTCCCTGAGATCTGTGGCAGGGTGGGGGTTAGAGAGACCCAAGGGAGAAGGGAGGCATTTTTTAAGGTGGGAGACCTGCGCATCTGGTCTCCAGCGGGGAGAGTAGGGGATGGAGGTAAAAATGGGGTCCCAGAAGGTGGCGGGGTGGAGGCAGAGTAGGGGTGGAGGGACACCCCCACTGAGTGGGGGAAGAGAAGAGCCAGAGGTGTTTACAGAGCAGGCTGGCTGCTGCTGCACCACCCCAAGGAGCACAGAAGTTCTCACTGGCTGCCATGAGGACTGGAGGAGGTGAGCCGAGCCGGAGGCCCTGGCGGTGCTGAGGTGCCTGCTGGCCTCACCAGGTACCCATCTCTGGAGGCTCTCGGTAGTTCATGTCTGGGGAATTCCCACTAACATTTCCTTCCTGGCATGAGAATTTAGCACCAGGCAACCTTGGTCTTTCCAGGCCAATTCTTATGCTCCCTTTGGTCAGAAAAAGAGAATCACATATCCTTTTTGCATTGGTCGATTAAAAATACATCTAAGGTTATGGGGTGCCTGGATGGCTCAGTCAGTTAGGCATCTGACTCTGATTTCGGCTCAGGTCAGGGTCTCGCAGTCATGAGATCAAGCCCCATGTCAGGCTCCACGCTGAGCGTGGAGCCTGCTTGGGATTCTCTCTTTCTGCCCCTCCCCCACTTGCACTCTCTCTTGCTCTAGCTCCGTCTCTCAAAATAAATAAATAAACATTAAAAAATAAATCTAAGGGTAAAAACAGGAGCCATATCAGGATGTCACTTGGGGTACATCCCAGAAGTCTCTGGAGTGAGAGTACGTGGGTTCTGATCCTGGCTCCACCTGCTCGACTTGCCAGCTTCTATCCATGTGATCTCTGGCAAGTCACTTAACCTGTCTGAACCTCTGTTCTCTCATTCATAGAGGGGGATAATAATAGTACTTCCCTCATAGACTTGGGGTGAAGAGCAAATATATTAATGTGTATAAAGTGCTTAGAACAGGGACAGCATATCCCAGCTCTCTTGGCTGTTACAATCTTGGCCCAAGTGTTTTGCTGCTGTCGAGTGGCCCCTGCTCTGTCAGACATGGTCCAAAGTCGTAGAGGTCCTGGGGATGGGAGAGCAGGGCAGATGTGGCCCCATCCTGTGGGAGCTAACAGTGTATTGATAGAAGTTTGGTGTTAAACAGATAACCACACATGTGAGGAATGTATAACGGACATGAATTTGCAGCCCCAAGGTCAGGTGTTTTCTGTACATCAACTTTAATCCCATCTGAGGACCTCTGCAGCCAGGCTGGTGGGAAGAGCTCCCTTCACCGAGGGTCCTGCAAAGATACTGACGCCTTGGCCATCTGGGATCCTCCCGTAGTCCTCCCCAAAGTGCCCGCTGTTCAAGCTTGTGTAATCTTGGGCTCTGCTGGGAGGGCAGGCGTCTTCCACCTGGGTCGAGAGTCCTTAAGATCATCCTTTACCTGCTTCTTGAAGCTGTCACCTCTAGGGGGCACTAGGGCCCTGACAGTCTCAGGGCAGGCCATACTCCTGCATTTTTCTAGCTTGTAGGAATATTCTCATCCCTTCTCCCTTCCAGAAGCAAGTTCCCCTCTCCTCCTCAGACACAGCCCCTTCAATAAGTCCATTCCTTCATTCAGCAAATGCATGCTGACCACACTCTACATGCATGGCCCTGCTGGAACTGGGAATGCAGCAGTGAAGATACAGCAAGGACCTTGCCTTGGTAAAGCTTATTTACAACAGGAGAGAGGATGATAAACAATAAACATAACAATAAGTAAATAGTATAGAATGCTAGAGGAGATGGGGCACCTGGGTGGCTCAGATGGTTAGACGTCCGACTCATGATTTCAGCTCAGGTCATGATCTCAAGGTTTGTGGGTTCGAGGCCCGCGTCGGGCTCTGATGCTGACAGCTCAGGGCCTCCTTGGGATTCTCTCTCTCTCCTTCTCCCTGTCTTTCCCTCCCTCACTTTCCCTCTCTCTCTCCCCCTCTCTCCCAAAAATAAATAAATAAACTTTTAAAAATTAAAAAAAAAAAAAAGAACGCTAGAAGGAGATTCGTGCTAGGGGAAATTGAAAACATACACGAGGTAAGGATTAGAAGTCCGATGGGGCAGGTTGCGGTGTTAAATAGGGGGTCAGGATAGACCTCATTAAGAATTTGGCATTCCAAGCTCCATGCTGAGTGTGGAGCCTGCTTGGAATTCTCTCTCCCCCTTTCCCTCTTGCCCCTCCCCCACTCGTGTGCGTTCACTCTCGTGCTGTCTTGCTCTCTTTTTCTCTCTCAAAATAAATAAACTTACAAAAGAAGAAGAAGAAGAAGCAGCTGACATTCATGCAAAGACTTAAAGGGAATGAGAGAGTTGGCCCAGGATGTACCGGAGACGAGAGAGTTCCAGGCAGAGGAAATGCCATAGTGTGCCTGGAACAGCAAAGGAAGCCAAATAGCTGGGATGGGGTGAGGGACGGAGAGGTGGGCAGGTGAAGACCAGCGGTGTTAAGCAAAGGATGCAGCATGACAGGTAAGGCTCTGTGAGTACACTGATTTTTTGCTGTAAGTGTAAAGGGAGTCATTGCAGGATTTTGAGCAGAAGATGGACATGATATGATTCATATCATTTACAGGGTCTCAGACCATTGCATTGAGAATGGACTGCAGGTTAAGGGAAAATCAGGGAGACTGAAAGGTAGGAGGCCTCTGCTTCAGGTTGCAGTAGTAGAGGTGTCCACAGTGATTCATTTCTGGATATATCCTGAAGGCAGTGCCCATAAAATGTCCTGAGAGAACACGGAATGTGCTAAAAAGCGAGAACTCACATGTGGCTGTGGGGCTTGGGGCCCGCTTCCCTGGAAGGACAGTTGCAGGTGGGGGGAAGGGTGGGGGTAGAGATCAGGAGTTTGGTCACATGCGTTAGACACCAAGTGGAGATGTTGAGCACATGGCTAGACTCACAAACCTGGAATCTGGCAGAGAAGTCTAGGCTGGAGATCTTGGCCGAGTGAGACCACCAAGGGAGGGAGTGTGATCCGGATAGAGGAGTGAAGGCTGAGCCTGGAGCATGGGAAGAAGGGGGCTCACCCAAGGGACTACCAGGGGAGCCCTGGTAGGGGAGTCCTGGCAACCAGGAGAAGAGCGAGTCCCAGGGATCAGGGAACAACTGCTGGTCTAATCGTGATCGGGGAGAATCCAGCAGGAGTGGGCCCAGTAGGACCAAGAAGAGAGTTAGCACTTCTTACAAAAGGCTCCAAGCCCCTTCCTGTATAAATCATGTTTATAATTCCCTGTATTTTTGTGATGCTTTGATGCCTTGGGGCCATGTGGACCCAGGGAGGGCCAGCCCCTCCTAGGGTTAGCTAGCTCTTAGAGAGGCCTTGAGCATACCACCCAATTTTAGTGCACCCCACCACCCTGCCTCTCTCTATCAGGCTCCTACAGTCTGGGCCAATGTCCTGGGCCTGAAATCACCCCAGAGCAAGTTACTGACAACCAGAATCTGCCTCTATAGCCCAGAGCCCACTGAAATCATTCAAATGCTCCAATCCCAAGCCTCCTCAGCTGCTTACCCTTCCTTGCCTATTCCTTCCTGTGAAAATCACTACGAAGGTTGTGCCCTCTGTTTGCTCTTACTCCCTCTGCCCCCAACTGACCCTGGTGCATCCCCCTGTGGCCCCATGTGGTACACTGTGCCCCTGCCTCTCAGGGACTCTGAGTAACCCCCTGTCTTTCTCATGGCCATCATCTCCTGATGTGTTGGCCTCCCCAAAAAGCCTGGGTACATAAAAAAAATTTTTTTTAATGTTTATTCATTTTTGAGAGACACAGAGTGAATGGGGGAAGGGCAGAGAGAGAGGGAGACACAGAACCTAAAGCAGGATCCAGGCTCTGAGCTGTTAGCACAGAGCCCGACGTGAGGCTTGAACTCACAAACCATGAGATCATGGCCTAAGCCGAAGTTGGACGCTTAACCAACTGGGCCACCCAGGCACCGCATGCCTGGGTACATTTTAAAACAGCTCTGCTTCCTGCACTGATGGAATCCCCGAGGCAAAGAACCTGGATCCCTGAACTCCAGCTTGCAATCCCTCTCCTGACCCCAAGCCTTCAGTATCTCCCAGGAGCCCTGACACTAGACAGATGCCCTTGATTTTGAGAACTTCCTTTCCTCCAAGAACCCCAGTCTCACCTCAGCCCAGGGTGCCTTCCCATCACGCATTTCCATTAAGGGCTTCCCTCTTGCAAATTGGTTTCTCTTCAGGAACGTGACAGACAAGGTCCTCCCTCAGGGTATTTCTCCAATCTGGGTGGCCAAGGAGAGCAACAAGAGTCTGGGTAAGTGACACTGGGGCTTGCAGAAAAGGCAGCACGTGTTCCATGCCTGTGGCTTTAGACTCTTCTGTACCCACGGATTGTTCTGCTCACAAATAATTGTTTACAGTTCTGTCCCCTCGACAACCATGCCACCCTGGGATCCCAGGCCCAAAGCCCTCTGGCTTCTACCACCAAGATGTGTGGCACTCACTGTCCTGCTCCGGACGCTCCTTCTCCACTGTTGACAGCATCCTGGGCTGCCTGGCTGGTCATGTCGTCCACATGATGGGGGAACTCCACACTTCGGCAGTGGTGGGAGTACCTGCACGACACTGTGCCCTGTGAGTGGCCGTGAGGGGAGAGGGCAGGGCTCCTAAGGCAAAAAGAGAAGATCCAGGGCTTTGAGAAGGCAGAAAACATTTCAGGAGAGTGCTGTGGAAGGACCAGATACTGGGTTTGGGGCAGAGGCAGGGATGGGGAACAGGTTGCCCAGATTGCGCATAATGCCAACGATTAGGTGGATGATCAGAGGCTCTAACAGTAGGGTGGATGTGTTTGAAGAACGATGAATAGATAACCTTACCTGGAAGTGAGGATTTGCCAAGGGATATTGCAGGAATAGAGTTGGAATTTAAGAAAAGTGCTGTAGGGAAATCAGGGGTTTCTCTTGTGACTTTGGGAAGACACTGAATGTTTTCATTTTGTTTGATTGGTTGAAAAAGCACATTACAAAAACCAGTTATAAGACACTGGTAGGTCAGCATGCAGGCTGGTGAGAGACTAAACTGGGGTCAGCAGTAAAGGAAGCATTATACTGGGGGAACTGACAGCTTGTTGACTGATTGCTTCTAGAAAGAAAGGAGATGACCAGGTAACTACAGATAACAGAAAACGGACTCAAAATGGAAATCACTGGGGTGCCTGACTGCGTGTGGGAGCAAGGGACAGCAGTGGTAGAAGATGGTGTACTTATTTTATATTCTTCATATCGGGTTGTGTGGGCGGGTCTTCTGGGGAGTCTGTGCGTGAGGCATTTGAACACAGGGGACTGGAAGTGAATTGAGATGTCCAAGCTTCAGACAGAGTTTCATATTTATTTATTCCCTGGAGGATAAAAGTTAAAAGAGGTGAGAGCATCATGAAGGGTGAGTACCATCTGAGCCTCCAACTTTTGTTGCACAGATTCCACAATATAATGTAACATGGGTTAAGGAATATGCTTTATCAGGGAGCGGGGGCAACGTGAGGGCCAAGGAAAGAAGGAACGTCAGCACTGAGCTGCCTCCCCTACCTGTCTCCTATGATCCCAAAGAGAAGTGTGCAGGGTGGGTCTGTGCTCTCCTGGAAGAGAACCCCCTCAGGCTCTCCCTTGTCACCTACAAGTGTGAGAGCAGCCATGTTGGGCTTCCCGGCACCAGAGGGATGTGGGCCGCCATTTGTTTACAGAAGTTCTAAAAGTACCAGCTCCCCCCTCCTAGAGATCTTGAGGTCTGGGCTGTTGTGTACGCTCCTGCTTGAGGTATCAAAGCCCGCTGCCTTCCAGGAGGGTTAGTCTCAGTGCAGCCCCTTCCTTCAGGGAAAAAGAGAGCTCCAGTTCTAATTTGGTGTTTAGGCAATCTGAGGTGACCTCCCAGGGTCACTGCCCGTGGCAGTGGAGTAGGTGACTTTCCTACGCAAGAGGTGTATCTAGAGATGAATAGAAGTTCATGACAGAATGTTGGGAAAACCAGATCCTCTGCTAGCTGATTTGGCACCTTTCTGTGAAATAGAAAAAGGCGCCCCCTGTGCCCACAGAGCCCTGAAGCACAAGGCAGGGCAAGCAGGCAGAGACATCGTGCAAAGGAGGGGCCTTTTATTGCAGATGCGTCTAGCTCTCTATTAGAGCATACAGCTGAGTGACCAGACCTGATTCCAGAAACCTCTGGCTCCCTCGGTTGGCCACCATTGTGCAAAGACACACTGGACAGCCTTCACTCTCTAGCCTGGGGCAAGTCTCCATTCAGGGGTGGCCAGAGGGGGCCAATGGATCAATCCAAGTTGAATCCTTTCTGCTAAGAAAGGAAGGAGCATCCAAAGGAACGTCAATGAGACAAAATGCCCCAGGGGCCAGGGAGGCTGAGGACTGAGAATAGGTTTTGGGGCTTGGTAACTACTGGCGATATCACAGATTAGGGAGAACATAACCAGGTGCCTGGGCCAGAGGATGCTTGTGTCCTAAGGGGAAACTGATGCTAGATCTTCTATGTAATTAAATGAGGAAGTACAGTCCCATATTAGCCTCTAAGTTCCTCTTGTCCTCCCCACAGCCCTGAAGCCTATGGATCTACACACCACATATCAGACAGGGCCCCTGATGGCGGTGGAGACCGCTCGGGGCATAGTGCTGCACTGGCGGGCCCACAGCTGGCCCCTGCGCTCCCTGCACACACCAGTGGCCTCCTTGCACTCTGTGGTCTGGGAACTGGGGGGCCTGGCCGGGGGCCCCCACACAGTGGTGGTGCTGGGCCTGGGCGCCCACTTCACCACCTTTCCCCATCTGTCTTTGTGCAACGACTCGCAGGGATCAGGGCAGCCGTGGCTGCGCTGCTGGCCCGCGAGCCCCGCACTGTCGTGGTCATCAAGCTGGCCAATACCGGCTACAAGTCTGTGTATGGCAGTGACTGGTTCACCCTCCAGGTGAACCGGCTTCTCCGAGCCGCCTTTGCTGACCTCCGTGTGGCCTTTGTGGACGCCTGGGAAATGACCTCCAGTCTGGCTCTGCCCGACAGGATCCACCCAGGGCGGCTTATTGTCCGCAATGAGGTCAACTTCCTCCTGTCCTTCATTTGCCCCATTTGAGCGCTTCTGCGGGTCCTGGGCTGTGTGGATGGAGGCGCTGGTGTGAGGATCAAGCCTGGAAGCCCTTCCCCTCAGCTGTCTGTACCTCTTCTCTTAACTTTTTGTTTGTTTGTTTGTTTGTTTGTTTGTTTGTTTGTTTTGGATGAGGGAAAAAAAGATTTTTTATTGTATTTTAATTCAAACTTATTGGGTTCCTGGTGAGTTTTAAATTTAAAATACTTTATTAGCCAATTCTCAGCATTGGTTCTATGAATTGTTCATCTCATTTAACTATTTTTCTCCTAGTTCTTTAGTGTTTTGGGTTTTTTTTATAATTTAACTTTATTTTTTATTTTTAAAAATTTATATCCAAATTAGTTAGCATATAGTGCAACAATGATTTCAGGAGTAGATTCCTTAATGCCCCTTACCCATTTAGCCCATCCCCCCTCCCACAACCCCTCCAGTAACTCTCAGTTTGTTCTCCATATTTATGAGTCTCTTCTGTTTTGTCCCCCTCCCTGTTTTTATATTATTTTTATTTCCCTTCCCTTATGTTCATCTGTTTTGTCTCTTAAAGTCCTCATATGAGTGAAGTCATATGATTTTTGTCTTTCTCTGATTGACTAATTTCACTTAGCATAATACCCTCCAGTTCTATCCACGTAGTTGCAGATGGCAAGATTTCATTCTTTTTGATTGCCGAGTAATACTCCATTGTGTATATAGACCACATCTTCTTTATCCATTCATCTGTCAATGGACATTTGGGGTCTTTCCATCCTTTGGCTGTTGTCGATAGTGCTGCTATAAACATGGGGGTGCATGTGTCCCTTCGAAACAACACACCAGTATCCTTTAGATAAATGCCTAGTAGTGCAATTGCTGGGTCGTGGGGTAGTTCTATTTTTAGTTTTTTGAGGAACCTCCATACTGTTTTCCAGAGTGGCTGCACCAGCTTGCATTCCCACCAACAATGCAAGAGAGATCCTCTTTCTCCGCATCCTCGCCAACATCTGTTGTTGCCTGAGTTGTTAATGTTAGCCATTCTGACAGGTGTAAGGTGGTATCTCATTGTGGTTTTGATTTGTATTTCCCTGATGATGAGTGATGTGGAGCATTTTTACATGTGTCGGTTGTCCATTTGGATGTCTTCTTTGGAGAAGTGTCTATTCATGTCTTTTGCCCGTTTCTTCACTGGATTATTTGTTCTTTGGGTGTTGAGTTTGATAAGTTCTTTGTAGATTTTAGATACTAACCCTTTATCTGATATGTCATTTGCAAATATCTTCTCCCATTCTGTCGGTTGCCTTTTAGTTTTGCTGATTGTTTCCTTCGCTGTGCAGAAGCTGTTTATTTTGATGAGGTCCTAGTAGTTCATTTTTGCTTTTGTTTCCCTTGCCTCCGGAGATGTGTTGAGTAAGAAATTGCGGCAGGCGAGATCAAAGAGGTTTTTGCCTGCTTTCTCCTCAAGGATATTGATGGCTTCCTGTCTTACATTGAGGTCTTTCATCCATTTTGAGTTTATTTTTGTGTCTGGTGTAAGAAAGTGGTCCAGGTTCATTCTTCTGCATGTCGCTGTCCAGTTTTCCCAGGACCACTTGCTGAAGAGACTGTCTTTATTCCATTGGATATTCTTTCCTGCTTTGTCAAAGATTAGTTGCCCCTATGTTTGTGGGTCCACTTCTGGGTTCTCTATTCTATTCCATTGATCTGAGTGTCTGTTCTTGTGCCAGTACCATACTGTCTTGATGATTACAGCTTTGTAGTGTAGCTTGAAGTCTGGGATTGTGATGCCTCCTGCTTTGGTTTTCTTTTTCAAGATTGCTTTGGCTATTTGGGGTCTTTTCTGGTTCCATACAAATTTTAGGATTATTTGTTCTAGCTCTGTGAAGAATGCTGGTGTTACTTTGATAGAGATTGCATTGAATATGTAGATTGCTTTGGGTAGTATCGACATTTTAACAATATTTGTTCTTCCTTGGAAGAACATGGAATCTTTTTCCATTTCTCTGTCTTCTTCAATTTCTTTCACAAGCTTTCTATAGCTTTCAGTGTATAGATTTTTCACCTCTTTGGTTAGATTTATTCCTAGGTATTTTATGGTTTTTCTTCTCTTAACTTTTCTAATGCACAGGCAATAAATCCACCAGTGAGAATTGGGATGTGGGCGGCGGGGGTGGCAGGTGAGGGAAACCTGGCAGTGCTGAAGGGATGAGGCAGAGCCACAGCCAGAAACATCTATCACATCTGTGCATATAAGGATTGTCATTTTATGTGCTGGAGTCTCCATTTAGAATGCCAGCGAGCCTTGAAAAGATATAAGAGAGGGATGCCATTTCAGTTCATCAGAGCCACCCTCGTGGAGAGCCCGACTATATATATAAAGACTTTTCGGGGTTGATTTGTAAAATAAAATATTTCTCCTCATTGTAAAAGTAATGCAGTGCTTTTTGTAGAAAACTTGAAAAGGTACCAAAAAAATAACAATGAAAATAAAAATCACCTAGAATCCCATGGCTGGGAGAAAATCACTGTTGAAATACATATATTCCCAACAATTTCTCAATGCATAAAAACAAAATTCTATACCTCTTCCTTTTATTATTATTTTTATTTACTCAAGATATATCTGATGGGTTTATTCTGAGATTCTAATGGACATTAATTTGGTGTGTGTGTCCCTTGATCAGTTCAGGTCCTACAAGAAGCAGGTGTCAAGATAGGATTAGAAGTGCAAATATGTTTAGTGGAAACACCTATGAGAGATAATGCGGAGGAAGCCAGGTAAGGCTGGGAGAGCCTTCAGACCTGATGCAAGGTTGACCTGGAGTAAAGGATGGAGGGAAGGAAGGTTGGGTAGAAGCATGCTAGACCATCGTGCAGTCTAAGGAAATTTTGGCAAGACCAGTGAGAAGTTCTTGAATCACAGTTGACCATCAGAGGAGTCCTGTATCTCCCAGGAAGGGGCCAGCCTCAGTATCCCTGCCTTGCTCAGCTGTTGGCTGGCAGCAGCCCCATGGGAAGAGTGGCCTCACTGTGAGGGATGTCAGAGGATAACAGCTGGGGCCCTTGGTCAAGTACAAGCCCTGCAGTCCACTAGGAAGGCAACAAACATTTCAAATAACTCGGGAAATACAGTTGATTTTCTAAAAGAATGACAAAAGCCAAACTTCAGTCAAAGAAGACATTACTGATATGATCCAGCAATTCTACTTCTGGATATTTATCTGAAGGAAAGGAAAACACTAACTCAAAAATGTATCTGTACCCCCACGTTCACTGACTACAGCATTATTTATAATAGCCAAGATATGGAAGCAACCTAAGTGTCCACCAATGGATGGATGGATAAAGAAAATGCGGTATTTATGAAACAGTCAAGGATTGGAACAAGCCCCTGGACACCTAGGGCACTCCCTCTGGGCTCATATCCCTTTCCCTGAAGGGCAGAGCAAGAATCAAGGAGGAAACCCAGACTGGTTCCAACTGATCCCAGATGGGATGGTCACCAAAATTGACCTTTCACCAACTTTTCTCATCTTAATGCTAAAAAACATGCCCAGAGGTAGAGACTTAACATGCAAATGAAACGTCCTGTGCATGAAGAAGCATGTTCTGTCAAATGTACCTGTGCCCCCACTTTCCTGGGCTTCCCCACTCCTACTTGCTTAAGCAACATTCCTTTTTCCCACCTCGGCCCCTTTAAAACTCCCTGGCTATTGTCTGGAGAGCCAGTATGACACCTTAGTCATGACTTTGTCTCCCTTCTCCTGCAGCTATTGCCCCAATAAAGCCTTGTCTGTACCTTTAAATTTGGGGTCCATCCTCATTTCTACCATACCCGGGTCCAAGGACCCAAGTGTGGCACCATATACACAATGGAATATTAGCCAAAAAAAGAAAGAAATCCTGCCATTTCTTTGGGTGGATCCAACAATATGGTTGGATTTTGAAGGCATCATGCTTAGTGAAATACGTCAGATAGAGAAAGATAAATGCCAAATGATCTTCCTTATATATGGAATCTGAAATAAACAAAGAAACTCCTAGGTAAGGAGAACAGAGTGGTGGTTGCCAGAGGTGAGCAGGGGGGCAAAATGGGTGAAGGGGGTCAAAAGGCACAAACTTCCAGCTAGAAAATAAATAAGTCCTGGGATATAATGTACAGCATGGTGACTACAGTTAATAATACTGTATCGTATATATGAACGCTGCTAAGAGTAGCTCTTAAAACTTCTTATGGCAAGAAACAAAATTTTGTAGCTATGTTGGTGATGGGTGTCAACTAGACCTATTGCGGTAATCATTTCAATAATACAGATATCAAATCATTATGTTGTATACCTGAAGCTAATACAATGCTAACATCAGTTATATTTCAATTAAAAAATTAAAAAGGGTGTTTCTTGGTTTAGTCGTCTAATAGACTTTCCCAATGACATTTCTGTTCGTAGACAAAGATATGTTGTCTAATTTGGCATCACTGCTGATAGAAAATAAATTATCTGGAAATATTGATTATAACGTATTTAGCGATTTTACTGAAAGAAAAAATAAATTTCAATAAATTTCAATATACAAAATAAATTTCAATAAATATACAATACAAATATATATAATACAGAATTCCACGTGTCTTTAAAAGTTCTGCAAATATCGCCAAGCCAAAATAGAACATGCAGGCTCCTGTAATAACGATCAATTCAGTTGTCTTTGTTTTGCTAACTTTCATCTGTATAAAAACACATTTCTCAGTTTTGTATTATGAAGGTATACTTCTCAGGGCAGAGAGACAATAATTTGGCAGATTATGATAACTTAAATATTTGGACATGAGGAACAGTGCTCTGGCTGTGCTCTGGCCGGGGTCTCACAAGTGATAGACGCAAACCCACCATCCAAAAGTAAGGAAGCCAGCCCACAGTGAACCTGGCCACAGCCCTGTGGGGTGCACCCTTGATGCCCCCCAGGACTGGAGACGCACCCACGTGACCTCACTCTCCTCCCTCCCCGGATCA